ACTTCTTGTATACCTAATTTTTATCCGTTCTGTTGTTTAAGCGTAATCAATTAAAAAACCTACAAACTTCCACATATATAATCCTAGCCACTTATCGTAGTTTTGTCCACGCGAATCAGTATTAATCTTATTTGTTAAGTTAAAATATAACGCATCTTCATTTTAAATTTCATTCAAAACCGTTTACCTCTATAGCTATTTACAAGTACGTATGATTGGAAACTTTCACATAACGGCAGTATGTTCAGGTATGTTCTGTGTTCAAATTTTAATGACTCATTTTTAAATTTTTTTTTAAAGTAACAAAAAGGTAACAAACCAAAAATCTCTAACATCCTTGAAGTTCAAATCATGAGTTATCATATCTTCCTTTAACTGCCCACTGCTAAATATGAGGGGTTTGCCAATAGTTGCCACGCTTGGCAGGCGGATTGTCAAACGCAGTTAGGCTTTAGAGATGTTTTAAGAGGGACCCTACTGCCCATCCTTTGCCCTCCCTTAGTCGATTTTTACGACGCCCACGGGAAAGGAATGGGTGGTTTATTCTATGCCGGGACCACACGGTAATCATGAGTATTTAAAAGTAATTACTTATATTAATATAGGTTTATTTATTACATACTAGTGCTCTAATCCGACTTCGTACGGGTAGATATAATTGAAAATAATATATGTATACGCACAGTCTATGCTATTCACTGATAATACAGTTTTATGTATGTGAAAAAAATGTTTAAAATCGTTTGAGTAATTTTTTAATTTATCCATTATAAACAAACGAACAAACAATGAAATTTTTCTCTCTTTATAATATTAATATAGACGTAGACAAAATTAATATAAAAAAAATAATACTACCAAATTTATACACGCATTTAATAAAATCTGTATATATTTTAATTAACTCATATTCATATGTACAATACATGCGCAGTACAAAAATAATTGTACATTTTAATTATACAGTATTGATCCAAAATCACAATAAATTTAGCCTCATTTACATTTAAATACAATTATAATACAAATTTCCAATAAATAATATACTTATAAATACACAGTGACGATAACTAAACGGGCACTAACAATTTTATATTGATCCTTATAATAACAATAATTAGGTATTTTATTACTTTAACACTATAATAAAGCGATTATTAAGTATTTTTCAATTTATAGTCGTTGATAATTTATTATGTACATAATTTGTAGAATATTTATTTATTATAAATAATATTTTAATTAATATATTATTAATTAAAGTATTATTTAGGTATCTTATTTTAATAAATAACTAATTTTCAATTTATAGTAGATTATAATTTATTATGTACATAAATTATAGGATATTTATTTATTTATTGTAAATGGTATTTTAATTTATATATTATTAATTAAAGTATTATTCTGATACTTTATTTTATTAATAGTGTAACATCTATAGTTTCTTAATTATCTTATATGATATTTTATTATAAATGTCACGTATGAAATATTAAAGATTTTTTTTCAGTTTTATTATATTCATTATTCGGAAACAAATATTTATTTATTTTCTAAACTGCTTAACCCTGCAGTCTAAAATACTTTTGTACATTTTAAATATTATAAACCTTTAAGACTGAAAAAATAAAAATTCAATCTGAATGTATTAATAACATAATGATATAGTGTCTGGCAATATTACTTTGTCTATGCCCCATAAAAAAAATATAAAATGGTAAATACTGTAACATACAGATGGACTGATTTCTTTCGGGTATTTCACACCACCTGTGTTTGCGACCATGGTAGATATTATTAATCCAAGTGCTTTATTTAATGGAGCCTTTCGTATCTAAGATGGGGATTATGTTTTTATCTATACTATATCATAATAACTTAATATTGCGTTTTACAAAAGAAAAACTGAATTCAATTCAGGAAAAACCAGTTACTTTGATGTGAAAACTAAATTGCTGAACTATTTTTAATAAGAATTCTATGATGTCAATCTGAAAGTATATTCTTTAGATAAAAAAAGAATTTTCCAAATCGGTTTACAATTAATGGAATTATGAGGTAACAAACACAAAAATATACAATCGAATTGAAAATGCCCATAAATTAGAATAAAATAAAATAAAATAGATTTAGAAGTCATTAGTGTATCATTAACAAGTGAAGAATTCTCCCCATGTATGTTATGAGTTAAGATTATAATAAAAAATACTTTTCGACATATTAAAAACACAACGCCATCTAACTCCAAAGTGGCAGTTTGTACTGTGGATATTTCTTTGTAAATTTATACATACATGTTGTACATAGAAAATACACAAACTAATGTGAACAGATATCGAACCTATACACATGAAACTTGTCATAAAATTAAAAAAAAATACACTATGAACAGAAAAAGATATATTACAATACGTTAATTTAAACTGAAGGATACATTAAGTGTGTTTTAAAATACAATATCACTGCTTACCCTATAAGGGATGTGGTGAGAAAAATAATGTTTGTAAAAGAAATGTCAGTTACTTTTTTACAATGAAACAAAAAATACTGTTAATCTTTGGTCAATATAAATGCAAATTATCTGGTTCTTGTTATTTTACAACAGAATGTTCTAGTGAAATTAAAATTGGTATTACCACATATAAATGTAGAAAATTATTAATTTCTCATATGTGAATCTCTAAAATACAGCTATTCACAATATTGATAATAAAATCCAATAACAGCAAGACGTATTTATATACTTACTTACAGACCAAATAAATTTGTAGGTATGTGATAAAAATAAAAATTTATTTGTTTTCCCCCTTTCAGATAAAATCTTAATCCTTATAGAAATCTCCTTTAACTATGACACTGTTTTGTTACTTTCTTCCAAATTGGGAATTTAGTGTAAAAGAAAGACATATAAACGGTTCAATAGCTAAAATAGGTTTATATGGGATTTAGCGTTTTTACAATTTGGCAATAAGGGGATATTTCTTGCTTTGTTTTTTATGGAAAATAGTAATTATATAGATAATTTTACAGTGATAAAAATACAGGCCTACATTCTTTATTAAATATGTGAAATAGAATAAGAGAATTTAATATATAGTTGTATTTATATATATATATATAAAAATAAGAAGTTACAATCGTTATACAGATAAAATTATTCATAATTTTTTCTTATTATTCATATAAATCTTTTATTATCAATTAATACTTGCGTATAATTTTTTTTAGAAATAATTTCATTTTATAGCTTATAAAATTAAAATACATTTAAAACTATTAATATTTCCAATTTTTTAACAAAACAAAAGTATTTTAAAGTATGGTGTTGTTCGTAGGAATAAGAGAACTTTTATTAAACTCATTTACTTATTAAAAATGTTGTAAGTAGTCAATGATTAAATAATGTTTACCACAGAAAATTTTTTATTTAAATTTGTCATTGAAAATAAATATCCTTATTGTATTTAACATTTGATATTTAGTCAGACATAAAATGTAAGAATGAAAAGGTACAGAAATTTATAGGAAATTGCTATATTGTGATTATTTGCCATTTGCCTGTCTTATATATATTATAAAAAAATCAAAGTATTATTTAATAAATTAATTATTTAATAAAAAATAATAATATATTGTTTATAAAAAATATTATAATATATATAATATAATTTACCAAGAACCAATTCATGGACACATGCATGTGATATTCTATAAAAAAAAAAAACAACAACTTGTAGTGGGATTAATGTTGAACTATGAAATGTAAAATACAAAACACAAAATCAGCTCAAAATTGGGAAAAATTACCACCTTATATATATAAAAAAATTGATTATTAAGAAACATTAACGGTTTTACTGCAGACAATATTTAAATCACTGCTTATTTAAACGGTGTTAAACATACTATTTAATCAATTTATTTAAAATGTTATAATATAATGTTTATTTGTAACTTTGTGCGTCAAAATCTATTAATTATTACATTAAAATTTATTACTTCCAACACCTTTTATTTTTAATAATATAGACTAACCTAACATTTGTTTACACAACACATGTTTTTTCTATTGGAAGTTTAAATATAACATTTTATTCGGTTTCACCTTTAGTTATGAATATAAACAATATAAACAAATAAAATTTAGTGGATTTCAAGCATGTTAATTTTTTAGGTATAAATTTTTTATTACAATATACTCCAACTAGGTACATATGTAATTTTAACAAGTTCGCATATAAAACACGTAAACTAAGCATTCAACATTTTATAACATACATATATTATGTCAAAATACAATATTTACAATACAATTTATCCACAACATTTTTGTCTAATTAGTTTAAGTATTCAAATATATTTAAAAAAAAGATGTAAAACGGACTTCTTTTTTCTTATTTCTCATATCATTTGATAATATTTTGAATTGTATATAATATTATAAGCATGCTTTCCTGCGACGGTCAAAAATAAAGAGAACTAGATGCTGTGTTATTATTGGTTGGCATCATTGATAGCTCCTATTTTACTTGAAATTAGGTAATATACAAGATTTTATTTTTTATATTACTGAAGTGGTAAACAAACATACGGCCCACCTGATGTTATGCGGTTACCATAGTCTTTAAACCCCTGCAATACTAGAGGCATTACGTGCGCGTTGCCAAGTAACTTTAAAGTAACTTCTTTACTCCTTTTTTGAAGAACCACCTGCTGTAGTCTTATTAATTTTAAATCAATAATATAATAATAACAGATGCAGTTTATCTTTATATTAACTTAATAATTATAACACTGTGTAAAAATTATAAAAAGTACCAGAGGGAGGTAGTAAAAAAGTCATCGGCTTGGGTATCTCTGTCCCATTTTTGTTTCTGCCATGAAGTATGGTAACACTGTTGAGTTCTTTTTTTGTATATTTTTTGTTTTTTTTTTTTATTTAAAGGAATATGACAGTGAAATTACAGGGTATAGAGGTCAGTCTCTCTGAGTATCTCAGTCCTTAAGAATGGCAATACATGATGGGTACCATGAGAACCTTGTGTTGTACATGGTGCTTGGTTATCGCTTCTCATCAGGAAAGCTGTGAGTTTGTTTCCTTATCATATAAAAAAAAATTTATATTTGTACTTAATAAGGAACAGAGATGAGTTAAAATATATTTTAAAAACATAATTATAAAATAAATTACTTAAAAGTATGACGGACAATAAATTACGTATATTATAATAATGCATTTAACCACAAAATTATTACGTAAAGTCTACATTACAAACCTCAGTCCTTAAGTACATATAGCCGACTTTTACATAAGATATATTAAATAATTCACATCTTTTGCCCTGTTCAACGTTCAGAAGTCATGTTTGTTCATAGATTTACTGTTGTATCCAGCGTCTACGAATATAGCAGCGTACATGTGGGGCGGTCCCCTCTGGTTGATGCTAGAGCATCACATCAAGTGCTATGTCATGTAACGTCGACCGCCCCGCGCCGTTTATCGCTCCGCTCATCGCTCCGCCTGTCGCTCTGCTGCCCGCCCGACGTCAATCGCGTGCTGATACCAACACGAGAAGCTGTGTGCGGCGAGGATCCGAATGCACGCGGGATACGCTGCCACTCCTCGTTCTATTCAATATCTAAAATATTGTTGGATAATAACTATCGTGAGTCATACTGTATTGCAATTCTTTATGACGGTTTTACTCACGTTTTAAATTCGGGAATGCTCGACTTTCGAACTTGACAACACAGTGCTGCTTATGACACAGTCAAAGATCGTACTCATGAATAAGAGTTTCTATCGAGTTTGAAACTCATTGAGCATACTCAAATTTAAAACATGAACAAAACAGACATAAATAATAACAATCTAATATATTACTTTATTTATTTAATAAGAAAAAAGATATATTATTATTATTAAGTTTTAAAGCAAATTATTGCACTTTGTTTTAGCTTTATACATATAGCACAATATTATCCGTACCTCTATGCTTTAACTTATTTAACTTACTTTTTGTTTTATTAAAAAAACAAGAGTAAAGGTGAATAGTAGAATATTTAGATAAAATATGGTAATTTACCTAAAATATCTTGACCAGGTTATACCTACCGTGATCACGAGTAACGAAGACAATTAAACCTACAAGTAAATACAGATGAAATAATATCCTTAAAGAAAGGGTGATTCCGAAGGGGAGTCACAACCCTCAATAATTTAGAAACACTACGTAAGGAGTAGGATATTTCTCACTAGTTATAAAAATCCATCACATAGCTAAGGTTATATATTTCAAAATCTATCTATACATCCCAAATACTATCTTTCTTCCGCAATAGGCTAAAAATCATGCGAATATACCGTAGCAACAGAATGTGAACGCCTGGCGTGCGTGGAGCTGAGAAGGTCGGAGTTGGCTGTGGAATCGGAACGAGAACGCAGCGTACCGCGCCCTCCGCGTCGCTGGCGCCGGCCGCACCACAACCACCGGTATGGCGGCACGCGCCTAATAAACCACATAATGTCTTGTTAATATTTTAACTGTCGAGAACTCAACTCATCGTCATCATCATCAATCATTGCTTCAGCAGTGCTCCTCGACTCTCAAAGCGCTATCGTTTCGCGGGTATACTTAAATCAGTATACAGTACAGTCGATGTAATTCACACAGTTGTGCTCACTGTTGCATCTCGCATCCAGGGTTATCCCTGGATTGAAACTTAACTGCTGAATCGGTATTAATTCGCAATTTTATGAGAGACGCAGTACATCAATATGTGGGTTATATCGACCTAGCTGATCCACGGCAACATAAGCAGTAACGCTCCGCGAGTCAAAGAGCATTATTGAAGTAAATTTGCTTACTAGTACTGTACATACAGATCAGTGACAGATTATTGTGTTCTTAATATGCGTATCGGATTTATCAGGCAAGCTGTAGTTTGTACTTATTTCAATATATTTATTTATTCCTACTACAACTGCCTATTACATTAACCTTAATATTTAAGGGGAGAAGGGATTGTTAGTAGACTAGAAACCCCAATGTTATTAACATATCCTATCAGACGGGCTCTTGCGGTATAAACATTTGAAGCCCCTTCACATAAACATATCCTATGTCACCTTTTGACAAGTGTAAACTATGATAGTTCAGATGTCTGATTATTTCACATTCTACTCGTATAATATATCGAAATGCGCGCTTTTCAAACGACTTCAAAAAAAGGAGTTTTTAAATTCGGTTGTATTTTTTTTTAAGTTTGTTACCTCATAACTTAGTTGTAATCCGATATGGAAAATATCCTTTTTATCTAAAAAGGATATTTTTATAGTTTATATTTTTATCTTAATAGTCTTAATTAAGTATATGCTTTAAGTTTAAACTTATATATCTATTTATATATAAACATTGGCCTCATATAATTTTTATAGAAATGGTTCAATAATTTAGTTTTTAAATATAATTGACTAGTTTTGTTACCATTGAGGTAAGTTTTTTTTTTTTTGTGGGGCATGATCTTTATTCTCGCTCTAACCCTAACTACATACACACACATTTTCACATATACACAGACATAAGACAGTTCTTCTATACATAGTAAATATTCTATAGTAGCGATATTTACACATTCACGTGCCATTTTTGTATAAAGCATCCAAAGAGTGGCTAAACCCTGTATTGGCGTTGCTAACACCGACCTATTCTGCATTCCTAATATTTAATGATGTTAATTCTTAAATACGTAAATAAAAATTGTACCTTAGGCTAGCATAAATGTGTGGGGAGAACATGCAACATATCAGCGGGTTAGCGGCTGAATTCAGCGGAGCTAAACTCTGTATAAGCGTGGCTAACGCCAAACTATTCTGCGTTCTTGGTATTTGATCGTAGACTTGTAATAGATCAAACACGATGTACGGTGACCAGCACAGCACGAACACTGAAAACAGAAAGTATTTTGTTGAGAAATTGATTTTTTGTATTGTAAAATCTTTATTGTACATAACTCAGATTAAACACTGGTAAATGATTTAATATACAATGGCGGTCTTATCCCATAAAGGGATCTCTTACAGTCAACCTTTAAGAAGCTAAAAGAAAACTGTAGAATGTATAAGGGTATAACCGTACAATTAAAAATAAACTAAATAATACCCAGAAAAAATTGAATATATAATACAATAAAAACAGCTCTTTATACCTACATATGTAAATATCTTTTATTATTGTGTAAGTGTAATTAAGTAATTATTTTGCATATTATTTGAAAACGTTTAAATACGCGAAACCTAATTTTATATCACATTTATTGTATTTTAATGAACTAAATTAAATATTATCGCAGAAGTTTATAGTAGTGACTAGGATTATATTAAAATATCTGTGTTTATCTGGCTGCCTCGATGTTTAAGTTGGGATATTCAGTTGGCAATCTGAGTTGAGAGGTTTATGTTTACTCCAATTCTCCCCCTCGGGAATTATTATTATTACTGTTAATGAAATGAAAATAACAAAGAGATTAGTGATTCGCCATGCACATTTTTGAGAAATATGGCGTCGTTCCAATAATAAATTACTTGACGAGACCCGGGGGTCGACCCAAAATACGCATATTCATTTCAACGAGCACAAGAATATTCGCAGAAGTCACTACACTAACATTGACAAAGTGGAGGGTAACTGAGAAGAAAACATGGCGGGACCGCGAATTAGTCCTTGTAATATCTATGCAATTCATTTAATATATTAAAGATATGAGAATTACAATTACATTAATTATTCCATTTTAAAATAGGTAAGTCTATATTATGAGAAGTTAGACAATGAACATTATAACGACGCAAAACATAGAAAACTTTTTTATTTATAAAAGTATGCCTTCTAGATCGAATTGAATTGATAATCGAGTCGGAAACCTCATTACGTACGAAGCGTATCATATACATCACAGTATCTATATTCTTTAATGTCTATGGTGCTGTTATTGTCCATTGTGATGGACCATATTGCATCTGGTGAGCCGTCAGCTTTCTTACCATTCCATGTATTTACAAAAATGTAAGAAAATTTATCAGTTGTCCCATAGTACAAACTCAATTAGCGTAACGCCAGATGGCGCCATGTAGTATGACCAATAAAAAAGTGTATTACTAACCGAATACAATGACGAATGTCATTTTGACACTCTTAATTTTTGCTCTAGGTATAAGCCCTCTGGAGCTGGCTCGACGGGAATCCGGGTCACTCTCCACCTGCCCTGGAAATTAGAAAAACCAACGGTTTTACTACAGAAAAATTAAACTGATATTTACATAAAATTAACATAAAATTACTTACATATTATTAATATACATTTTTCCAATGACTAAACTATATACTACTATAATATAATATACTGTTCTGTTAAACACAGTTTATTTAATCATTGTTTTAAATATTTTCTGTAATAAAACCATTACGGCCTTACTATTATATATATTTAAAATCTACGTAACAAAATGTATAGATTATTATAATTAAATTTATTATTTTAAACATCTTAAATTTTTAATGACGATGTCATTTCATCACTTTCTTTTGACATAAACAGATGTTTTTTTTATTAAGACGACATATATTGAACACTTGTTTATTGCAAGTTTAATTTTATTGTGGTAAGACGGTTAGGGATTTCTTAAACTCTGTTTAGACATACAGTGCCAGACAATAAGGACAAACGATTTTATAAATATATAATAGTATATTATACATGAGCAGCCCATCATTTATTGATTAATTGTAAACTATATTAAATATTTACATTCTTATTGTCAACTATGATCTAATCTCGAAAGTTTTATCTGTAGCCTAGCCACGTAAACTAGAATAATTGAAAACGGGCCAAATTCCAAACTTATCTTATACTTTAGTAGCCAAGTAGCCAAAGCAATAAATAAAACGTTTTTAACATTTGTTATCTCGGAGTATAAATTTATTTGCCGCAGGTAAATTTAAGATTGTGTTCCACAAAAAGGTTGACTTTTATTGTAGCAAAACTAGTTATTATGATTTAAAAACTAAACTACTAAATCGATTTTGATAAAATTACTATAGGACTAATCTGAATCTATAAAGAGATCCTTTCAGATAAAAGAAAAATATTCTAATTCGATTTATAATTGATGGAGTTATGAGGTACATAGAAACATAAAAAAGTGCAACTGAAATAAGAGTTGTGTTTGCATGGCTGTGTTTCGGTTTGAAGGTTGGGATATGGCGTGAATTTACAGGGTACAGAGGAATAACACCTGAGTCCTCAGGAATGGCAACGCAGGGAGGGTATCATGGACGAAACAGTATACTCTGTTATGTCCATGGTACTGCTCATGTCTATAGGCGACGGTTACCACTTTCCATAAGGTGGACCATCAGCTTGTTTGCCATTCTAAGTTATATATAAAAATTAAAAGTTTTTACTAAAGACACACTTGTACGCACGCACGCACACAGATTCAGGGATTAGTGTGAACAAGTAAAATTCAAGTTTTTGAACAAAACAACAGTTGACTCTCTTACCCATTCTTTGTAACTGAAATTACATTCTGAATTCGTAGTAGAATTATAAAAAAATGTTCAAAAATACTTAAAATTTAAGTTCGAATAAAAATATTTCTTTTTACTTTCTTCAACAAACACAGTATTTTTATATATTAAGAGGAACATACTACTAGCTGTTTCCACGGCTTCGCTTGTGTGAATCAACAGGTGTATAAAGTATCCTATATGCTAAGTTAGGATATAACTTACCCGTGTACTGAATTTCATTCAAATTCATTCAGTAGCTTTTGCATTAAAAGTTAAAAAAACATCCATTCTTACAATCTCTCACGCTTATGTATATGTATAAAATAATACTAGTTACCATTTCGCATTGTTTTCGTTCTTCTAGAATTGATAGGTGGGCTCATGACTACTGCTTTGCTCTTGGTCCATATTGTCAGCACAATGACGGCATAACACGCTGCTATGGCCAGGGCTGGTAACACGAAGATCATCACCGACACGAGAGTCATCCAAATCTGCCATCTTCTTGGAGTTTCTAGATCTATCCAGCACTGGAGCTCGCCTGGAATCGTTTAACGTAATCCTTATACTAATGGTATAAAAATGTGAAAATGAGTTTGTTTCTTATCTCTTGACGCCTTAATGACTCTATTCATCATTATCATATCAGCCGTTAACTGTCCACTGCTGAACATAGGCATAAGTTATGGAGGACCATAATAGGGGGTTTTGCTGGAAGTTGCCACACTTGGCAGTTGGGTTATAAATGATGGAGTTATGAAGTAACAAACATGTAAAATACTACCGGATTGGGAACCTCCTCCTTTTCTGAAATCGGTTGAAAAAGGACTAATTTTGCAAATTTTATTTTAATAGTCGAAAATGAACGGAACTCCCTGCTTATTTTGTCTAGCGGATCATCAGTAAGGGATGAATTTAGGAGGATAAAGTCAATTTAATTGGCCCATTTTAACGCTAGACCCCAATACCAACCTCTCTCTTACTCCCCTCCTTCTTCTGCCTCCAGATAAAGCATAGTAATTATAGTGCCATATCCCATATTTTAACAATAAAAAAAAAAACAGCATATAGTCTTGTAATCATATTTGTTAGGCAGTAGAAATATTAATGGGACAGAGGTATCTATGTAAAAACTTTTGTTAGTCTTCCTCTCTAGAGGGACTCTTGAGTGATAGATACAAATACGTACATATAAGAGTATTATATCAAAGGTAAACGACGGTACGGAAGCTGTCGGTTCTTACAAACAGATAAGGGATGATAGCTTTTGGAATATTTTCCAAGATTTTTGCTTTATAAATATACTGACTCACCCAGCAAATGTTCTGCCGCTACCGCCATCTATCGGTTATATTTTTCTTAACTTGTTTTCAATCAAATTGAGCTTTTTTTCAATAAGTAAAGATGAAATAGTAACCTCGTACGTGCTATTAGTATACACTGGCGGGACACCAGTATGAGATGACAGGTGAGAACGAAAGCAGGTCAATTGGCCCATCGTGATAATAATTAGCGACAGGTTGACCTTTCCAAGGGGTACCACGTGGAGGTCAACCTGTCAGGGTATATTAATAGCAATGGGGTTGTTAGACCCCATTACTAACAATCCCTTTCCCCTTCTCAATTTGGATTAAACAATATGCATTTACGAGATTTCATTAAAATTGCCATTTCAAAGACTAGCGTTAACGAATATTGTGACACGGGATTTTTATACATTAAAGTAAAAGGCATAGCAAAAATAAAAACAATATGGTAATAATAATAAAAAATGGAAAAAGATAAATATAGTTTTTATCTAAATTCCTAATTAATGAAAAAACCGCCGGTTACGGATAGGCAAAAAGCTAAGTTAAAGATATGGATCATAAAGTCTAACGATATCCATGACAGCATGGCACAGTAATGAGTGCGTTTGCTTTACGTAGACAAGGTCCCAGGTTCAATACCCAGACAGGTCATTTAGAAAACAAAGTTTTACGAATATACACGGGTTTGAGTAATCTGCATAATGCCTTCAGACGTTTGATGTCCTAGTTCCTCATAATACAAGGTATCGTAGTTTAAAAACCATGTTATGCGTTAAGACTGCCTTTTGTATCACTTCTCATTAAAATTTACTGTATTTATTATTTTTATAAATGGTGTAACTGACGTCAGGCTGATGGCCGGTTGTAAAACTATAAGCCAAATCTTTTTATAGTATGAATAAAAACATATTACGCAGACCTCAAATAATAATTGAGATAAAGGCAGGATAATGATATCGATCGATGATGGTGTAACATAGTGTATATAAATAAATAAATACCTTGTACTTCTCTTACTTCGTACAGAATGAGGAGTGGTATAGAAAAGACGATGCTGATCAGCCAAGCTGACACAATAAGACCTCTAGCTCGATTCCCTGAAAATTAAAAACATTTCGAATTATACAATTTTATATAATATTAACAAATATATACATTTGTAGTGTACAAGTATAATAAATCCACATTATTTTATCAATATTATAAATGTGAGTAAGTTGAGTGAAGTAAGTTTGTTTGTTTGTTATTTCATAACATCTTAATTGTTTAACCAATCAATTTGAAATTTGGCATAAATGTACTACATAATATCGACTATCGGTACGATTATAGTATTGCAAAGATTTTTATATTATACTTAAGTAATACTTCAATTTGTTAGAATTATTAGGCCTCAGCATATATTCTTCTCCATCACATACAGTTTGTGTATATCAAATTTTAAAGTGATTGGTTAATCCGTTAAGACACTATGAGGTAACAAACATATCAAATTATCAGAAACCGGGGGGAAAGGGATTGTTAGTAATGGGGTCAAATAGCCCCATTACTAGCAATATGCCCTGTCAGGTAGCCTCCGCGTGGTTCCCCCTGGAAACCATCGTGGCTAATTCTAGTTGAATTCGTCAGGATGGGCTAACTGACGTGTTTTCATCCACATCAGTCATCTATCACTGGTGTCTCGCCAGTGTATACCGATAGCGCAGGCGGGGTTACCATATCATTATCACCCATTAAAAAAAATCCTCAGAAACCAATTCAGATAGAGTGGAACCTTTAAAAATTATAGGAATAAAAAAAGATATAAAACTCTTTTAGTCCCATATCGCATAAATTTCATTTAATTAAAAACATAAAATACGAAATGAAAAGTATTCGTATTACGACATTTTCAACACAGAGCTGAAACAAAAAATAAACGGTCGTTTTGTCAAATAGAAAAGTTAATTGAGAATCATAGTTTCGTTTTATTCACAACTCATGAATAAAGATCGACAATAAAAATAATGGGTAAGAATAATTTTTTCAATCGACTTCGAAAAAGGAGGTTCACAATTCGGTTGTATTAGGGGCGAAAGGGATTGTTAGTAATGGAGACTGAGAATTCCATTGCTAGCAATATACCCAACGAGGTCGACCGCCACGCGGATGGATTGGATGAAAATAGTATGGTAACCCCGCTTGCGCTAACGGGATACGCTGGCGAAACACCAGTGAATGGTGATCGATGAGGATGAAAACAGGCCAGTTAGCCCATCATGATGAATTCATCAGAAATTAATCATGATAGTTTCCAGGGAGAACCGCGAGGAGGTCGACCTGGTATTGCTAGCAATGGGATTCTCAGTCTCCATTACTAACAATCCCTTTCCCCCCGATAATACCTAGTTCAGTAGTGTGATTATTTGAGAGGCAGCCCTTGCTTATTCGCATTGAACATAAGATCAAAGTTTCTATTGGATATAATAATATTTAATTAAAAGGCTTCATTAATGTATTTGGCTCTTCACTTAAGACAAGTTCAATATTAAAATTTATTGAAATACCCTTTAATTATTATGAGCTAATTCCACGAAATGTGTATCGAATATTTCGTCTTAACGATGCCAGAGACTCCGAAGTTAATCTCTGGAGTCTTTTAAACAAACTTTCTTTCTGCTTTTCACTCGCTATGAATTATATCGATACTAGTTTTTACATGTGACTTAGTCCGCGTGTACGCCATATGTTAAATTACCGAGTAAACAGTAGCCAGTATGCTTCTTCATTTTAAGGTACCAAATAGCAACTAACTAACTCAATTTCACATTTTTCATTATATTAGTAATAATAACTAGCTTTTGCCTGCGAATTCGTAAGCATAGATTTTATCGTAGGAAATTTAATCTTTCTCTATATAAAACACTTTTAAGAAAGTAAATAGAAACTTAATTTTACAAATCGTATTAAATTTAAGATAGTTTTCACATGATACTGGAATAAATATACAGTCGGATAAAAATAAAAAAAAAAATGTTTTGACTTCTATTGTTATTATTAAGTTTCTTTTTTTTTTAAAATATCTCCTACGTACAGACATCGCTCCGTTAAAATTTTATTATATATTCAGTTATTATTATTCCCTTTGAATTATTAAAAATTATTGAGTCTCCTGCGACTTCACTCTCGTGAATCAAAATATAATGTATCTTTTGTACCAAGTTAGGATATATCTATAGGATATATATATATATATATATATATATATACATACATATATATATATATATATATATATATATATATATATATATATATATATATATATATATATATATATATATATATATATATATATATATATATAAGTTAGGTATATATTACCCATCCGTTTATCAAATTATTATTAAAATTATTTAAATTTGTTCAGGAATTTTTGCATGAATAACAAACATTATTATATTAATTAAATTTAGGAAAAATAATTGGAGGACATACTCAGCCTAAAATCAACATGGCGTTCCGAAGGATACGTGCGTAGATAAAAAGTTAATGAAATATCTATACTAATATAATAAAGCGGAAGAGTGTTTGTTTTTTGTGTCTGTTTAAACGCGCTAGTTTCTGGAACACCGTCGAATTTTAATTTTTTTGCAGTAGACACCTTATTTCTCGAGAAAAATAAGGTAAAGGCTATTTACCATGAGGATATGATCACGGATGAAGTCGTAAAATAGAGCTAGTATAAAATAATTTAGATCATTTTTTATTAGGTAATAAAAAAAAGTAATAAATTTAAAAATCACTACATAGTATAAAACAAAGTCGCTGTCGCTGTCTGTCCATCCCTATATATGCTTAAATCTTTAAAACTACGCAATGGAGTCTGAAATGGTTTATTTTAGTAGATAGAGTGATTTAAGAGGAAAATTTATATGTATAATACATGCATAATATAGTAGAGAAACACTTATAATTTTGGAGGTGTCTAATGTGATGTACTGTGCACCCGTGCGAAGCCGGGGCGGGTCACTAGTAATAAATAATTGAAATTAGTTGTCATTACAAATATATGCTTCGTTTTAAAGGGTACGATATGGTAGTGAAATTACACGACATGGGAGCATAACACTATAACCCCAAGAAATGGAAACGAATGAAGGGCACCTCGGTTGTCACAGTATACTCCATGATATCCCTTATAGTGTTCATGTCTTTAAACGATGGTGACGGCTTTCCATCAGGTGGCACGTCATATAGTTTGTTGTTGTTTAAAAAAAAGTGCAATCATACTTACAACTTCCTGAAAAGTTCATGGGGTTTGTGATGGCATCGCAGCGGTCAATACTGAGTGCGACTAATACATATGTAGATGCGTACATAACCACAGCCTGAAAATAAATAAGTACATTAATACTAAGTACTACTCGTGTATGGGGGAAAGGGATTGTTAGTCCAAGCCCTTTCAATTCCTTCTCATTCTGAACATGGCTGTATTTTATCCAGGTCATATGGCCGAAGCTGCGATTATAGGTTAGTATTATAAATGTGGAAATGGATTTGTTTGTTTTTTATTATTATTATTTGTTGACACTTTAAATACATCATTTTGGCTGACTTTTGGCTACAGCAGAATATCAGTATTTTGTCCTTTTGAAGCCAAAACAATAAACTGAGTTGTGAGCATTTTTTGTTACTACGGCACATGATGGAAATGAAAAAAAAAATCTTTTATGTATATTGCTTTTTTTGTATATGTTTATTTATGTCTGTTATTATTAGTGTGTTGTAAGTAACGCAAATAAAACACATAACATATCTATGTATGTATCTATTATGAAACTTGGTATACATGTATCATATGGGATGGAGAAGGGGATATTCAGACACTTCTAAAAAAAAACTAGTACTTTATACCCGGTTTATGATGACGCAGATGATGAAAGCAATATAAACGGCCTTAAAATGGTTTATTTTTATTTTCTTTACTTTTGTAAATGGTCGTCTAAATTCAGACTCGTTAGAATTTAATAAAGGATTGTGGAATAAAGACAGAAAGAAAATACAACAAAAATAACGAGATGCTTTTGTTTTTTCTATTCTGTACAGATATAAAGATCAACTTCTTTCATTAACTATGTTTTGCTTTTGTATAATCCCTTACTTTTAAAAATAAAAATAAGATCTATTGTAAATATAAACAGAAGTACCATGTTTGATAACTAGTTCACTGTCTTATATACCAATAAATAAAAAAAAGATAGTACAGGCATGAACTCCCTGTCGAGGTTTTTCCAGGAGATTACAGGTTCTTAAAAAAAGGGATAAAGGGGTTTCTTTAGGATTGGCAACACGCGCGTGATACCGTGGTATTACAGGCGTTCATAGGCTACGATAACCACTTTCTATCAGGTGGTCCATAAGCTTGTTTGCTATCTCAGTGGTATTAAAGAAAAAAAGCATAAAACTTTTTATTTTAAAAATTGAACGGATCTGTTTTAAGTCAAACACTTTTCAATTCACTCTGGTAGATAAAGTATGCAAGGATATTGCTTAAAATTACCATTAAAAGTTATGATATGAAAGTTCTCGATATTTCCCGGAGTTTCTAAAGTCAATTGGCGTTAGAAATTATTTTTTTAAATATTAACATTACTCTGTGAGATGTTTTCCATTCGTAAATTGTTGAAGAATAATTGAAAATGTTACCTAAAATTCTACAAAATTCAAATTTCCTTTTAAAAAAAGAGTTAGGTTCTATTTAATTAAAAATTGAAACGATTGTATTTCCAATAAAATTACTCTAGAAAAGCACTTATTAATTAAGAAAATTAAGCTACGTTAATTTTATTATAACTCTATATTTTATATATAATTTTATCACACGCGTACAATGTACATTTATAATCTATCCTTAAATCTATCTACATAAATAAAAATGAATTGTTAAAATGTGTTTACTAAGCGCAAAACTCGAGAACAGCTAGACCAATTCGGCTAATTCTTTTTTCAAATATTCGTTGAAGTCTGACGAAAGCGTCTTATTCTGGAGAGGATGCTATTTCACTATTTACCTGTAATCTCGTAGCGTTTAATCCCGTTTATGAATTTAAAATGAACGTTAAAATTAACGTATAATAAATAAAATTAACGTAACACATTAGTTCTATGTAACAATAATGAGTGTTATGGTCAAGAAGAAAGTGTTATTTTTTTTTATACGACTTAGAATGGCAAATAAGCTGACGGCCCACCTGATGGAAAGTGGTAACCGTCGCCTATAGACATGAGCAGTACCATGGACATAACAGAGTATAGTGTTTCGCCCATGACACCCCTCATGCGTTGCCATTCCTGAGGACCCAGGTGTTATTCCTATGTACCCTGTAAATTCACGCCATATCCCACCCTTCAAACTGAAATACAGCCATGCAAACAACTGCTTCACAGTAGAAATATGAATGGGACAGAGGTACCCAAGCAATTGACTTTTGTATAAAGTCTCCCCCTGGTCTCCTTCCCTCTTACAGAATATTATGCTAAGATATTGAATATGTCAATAATGAAACACTTACCTGCAGAAATTTGACTATTTTGCACATAAACTCCCCGGCTAACCACGCTATCGTGATCTTCTGTATAATATCCACGAATACATAAATTAAGCCCACAAATAGATCTGTAACAATAAATACAAGATTACTCTCTAGTACACGTTGGTAAACATTCATAATATTTGTGCGTTCGATGCGGAATTTGTTGGATTTATTGTTTGATGGGTACTCTGTATCTGATAAACGATGACTAAAAATCTTGAAGTTAACATGATAAATTGACAGTTTAACGAAGTGCTTGCATGGCAAAGAAATTTGTTGTTTTTCGGACCATGTTTGTTTGGAAAAAATAATCAAATAATGTACCTATAATACTGTTTTAAATGGATTCTAATGATATTGATTACAGTCTGTATAACTTATACGAAACAACAAACAAATGCTGAACTGTAATATTGACTTCTGTTAGTGCTGCCATAGTTTTAACCATATCTGTTAAGCTTTATTATAACTTGTAATATGATTATAGTATAATATTTACTACATTTTATAGTTATCGTAGCGGATTCCTAGCAGAAGTTAGAGAAAACATAAGGCTTCCCTCCATAGGCGCATTTCAGTGAAGGACCAGGTGATCCGTGCCATCCTCAAAATTGTCTAGTTCTTAATGGACAATAATGGAATGATTTTCCTTGCTGTGATTTTCATATACGCCGGCGAGGAACCAGTGAACCGTGGAAAGTGAAGGATGAAATCAGACCAGTTAGCCCATTGTGATGAATGGACGGATGGATAAAACAAGAATTAATCACGATGGTTACTAGAAGAAACTGCATGTAGGTCGACTTGATATTGCTAGCAATGATGATTAACGTCTCCTTTATTAATAATTCTCTCTCCATCCAGAATTGTCTGGTGCCCTCTTTAGGATACGAACGGACCTTTCGACTATAAAGACATTTCCAAGATTACAATATGCGTTCTTTTAAGACTCAGGCCCTTCCTGAAAAACAAATACACTAATACTTCGCCGATCTCTCTTTAGGAATGGTATTACTAGATTATTTACGTTATAAATAATATTAATATTTATGTTCATTTTTATATTTTATCCGAGCAGTAAGTTCTATCTATTATTCTCATATTCATGTATAATATAGTATATGTTATATATGTGTATAGTATGTATATTTGTTCTTTATATATATTGATTTGTTTATATATGTAAATTTATTCCCTGAAGATGCCTCATTTAGACGTAAAGCACGTGTCGCAAAACGTGCGGGAACAAAATGACAGTCGAAGATCGATGACTAATATCATATGAAAGGTTGTGGAACTTCTGGTAGTAGTAGTGGTGGTGGATCTTCAAGTGTTAGCAGTCATATACATACTAATGGTAGCGGTATTAAATAAAATAATTCTATTCAAATAACCAGTGATATGGACTTCCACAAGATAACACGTAGTTCAGTAAAATATTTATGTATGTATCAATTATTACTAGTACCGAATTCGAGTATTCTAACACTTCCCAAAGGTTGTACGGATGGACTTAATGCTTTTAGCATTAAGTCCGTCTTGCATGTAAACATACATGTACTAATAAATAAATATTTGCAGAATACATTTGTTTGTATAAATGTAGTATATTTATAAAGTGATAGGAACGTTTGTAAAAATACAAAATTAGACATTGTACTTTATACGAAATAACAAACACTCTCATCATAAATACCACAAGAGATACAAAACGTTTACACAGTAGAGCTAATCCCGTGAATCATTGCTATTTGTTCTCAAACATAAGTATTTTTTCACATAAATCAATATACGATGACTAGATATACTCTCTCATTGCAATGGTGTTAGAATTATTATTTTCAACGCCGCCAGTCTCTTGAAATTGTTTTGATACCTACACATCAACTATTACGTACTTATTTTAAAACCTTTATTTATAACTGCGACAATCACGGTAATGAAGGGGGTAAAAGATTCTTAGTAATGATAGTATTATATTATCTGTGGTAATGGGGTTTAGACATGAGCAGTATGATGGGCATAACAGGGTATACTGCGACATCCATAATACTTTTCATGTGTTAACATTTTTAACGATAAAGTGTATATCTTTGAACCTTACAATTTCAATGTCATATCTTACTCTTCGAATCAAAACATAGCCATGCAAACACAATTATTTCTCAACAGAAACACGAATGGGAAAGAGAAATCCAAGCAGACGACTTTTGTATAAAGTCTCCATCTAGTAAATTTTAGGTGGAAAATTTGCAACGTGGAATAACTATAACAGCACGTAAACTAAGTTTTACACTTTCAACTTAAACCGTTAACACAACCGTGTGGTTGTGAAATGAAAAGCTGCCTTCTATGCAACTCAATTAAGTACCTTTACTGTGTGAAAAAGGGTCGGGACCTTGCCCAAAAGGTTCGATTTAAAATGTATAAAGTTCACAAAGCATGTTATTCTACAAGTTTTGGATACATTTCCTACTACCTTTATCGCACTGATGGAAACTAATTTACGAAGTGATATATTAATTTATTTAATTAAATAAATTATATATTAAATAAATACATTATTATTTATTTTAATAAACGTCATATACTAAGAACTGAAACTTACTGCTTAAGACTGTCATAAATGGAAATCACTTCTATGAGCGTTATTCCCCCAAATGAAAAAAAAACAAGATTTTTTTAATCCACTGAGGTGGGAAACAAGCATACGGCCCACCTGATGGTAAGTGGTTACCGTAGCCTATGAACACATGCAATACCAGAGGTATTATCGTTATAATCACGGTAAAACTATAAAGCTATTATAGTTTATGTTGTATTCTTGTTATCATGATTATTGTTATCATCATTTTCACCGTCATCAATAAATTTCGTTAAATATCAGATACTGGCCGCGGGTTCGCACTTTTTTTTTAATAAAATACAGCTCATGTTATATTTTGCTCGTGCTCATATTATATATACCTCACAATCAATGGGTCTCGTTTATAGGAAATATCTACGTAGTTACAAAGTATTGATGTGATGGCGGGTAATATTATTCATGTTCCTATTAATTTTATTTATTTATTTAATTATTTATTGTACACACCAGTTACAAAAATATGACAGAAGTAATCAAATGTACAAACGCGAACTTAACTCTAATAGAGTTTTCGTCCAGCAAACCCAAAGTGGAACGGAGCATCAATCAATATTAATATACATAAATATTAAAGTGAGTTTGTTTGCTTATTTCTTAGTGCCTTAAATGCTTAAGCAGTTATTATGCAATTTGATATACACTTATTATATGAGACGGAGAAGGACATATGCCACTCTTAATCCCGATAAACGAATATTATTCCGGTCACGCGGTCAAAGTCGCAGGTAAAAACTTAGTAGTTATATTATTTGTTATCATAACTATCATATCAGCCTTAACTGTTCATTGCTGAATATAAACCTCCCCTTTGGGGGGAGGGGGAGGAATTGCTAGTAATTGCCACGCTTGGCTAGCGGATTGACAACTGCAGTTAGACTTTAGGGATGTTTTAGGAGAGGCACTGCTGCCCATCCCTCGACGTTCCATAGTCACCTCTAACGACATCCAAGAAAACGTCCAACCCACGTGGAAACGTCGGCAATAATGAAGCAGATATGCAGGTACTGTTTGCCAGCAAAATTTTTAAATTTTTTTATTAAATTTTTATTTTACAAGTCCCGATAATCTTTTAAAATATCGATTATATTTATTTACATTTCCATTAAGTTCTAATAAAATAGACGATAGATACCAGGAAAAACTTAGATTATCCTGCTATGATCAAATAGACCATGTTCTGTTTGAGACAAAGTCAAGGATCCCTAGACCGGCCTTCATACAAGAGGCGACTTATGATAGTACATGTAGCAAGAGATGTACGCAAAGGTAGAGACAGAGGCACACAATTCTCTCTGCCTGCCCCGTATGGACTCGATGTGAAGATGTTTTTTTTTTATGCAACTTAAAATGGTAAACAAGCTGACGATCCACCTGATGGAAAGTGATAATCGTCACCTATAGACATGACATATGTAGATAGAAACTCGTTATAAATTTTTTTTTTTATGCGTGAAAATGGTATGATAACCCTGCCCGCGCTAACGGGATACGCTGGCGGAGCACCAGTGAAGGGTGATAGATGAGAATGAAAACAGGTCAGTTAGCCTATCATGATGAATTCATCAGGAATTAACCATGATAGTTTCCAGGGAGAAACGCGAGGAGGTCGACCTGGATACATAATATATTATTTATTTATAAGATTTTTATGACATATTTCACTTAGTATAGTGAAAACAATACCGCCCAAGTACAAGTGATACTCGTGCGATCATTGTTCCGTATTGTAAGTTGTTATATTCAATAACAAATATTCATAACGCACGTCTGAATTTACAACTAATATCATAAATATGAAAGTTCGTAGAAATATTTGTATGTTTATAAATATATTAATGTGGTTTCGACGTAAATTGGGCCACTCTCTGTCCTGTCCCGTGAGTGTCGTTAGAGGTGACTGAGGGAACTAAATGTCGAAAAAAGTCTGACTGCAGTTGCCAATCCACCAAGAATGACAACTGGCAAAACCCCCTATAAACAGAGGCTTATGTTCAGCAGTGGACAGTTAAAGGATGTTATGATGATGATGAGATGAATATTAGTAAGAATACGGAACCCTTAGCACGTAAATATAAATCATATTTGACATATTTTATTTTCTTTCTTTCATAGGTAAAATTAGGACAATATTTTTTATATTATTTTAGTAAAAGTCTGAATATAAAAAACTCAAACCCATTTATTCTGAACTAGACGACAAAATCGTAACAGTACACAAGTGGATTTTGAAAATATGCAATCACTTCTAGATGGTTTATTAAGATAAAAAATATTTACCAGACTTTAAGTTCAACAATAAACAACTGTAAAAACTGTAGCTAATTTGATGTAGTAGTTTTTGATCGTCACCGAAACAAATATACAGATAGACGAATGTTCCAAAAATCTTGTTGTTTTGACTTCTATTATTCTTATTAAGGTCTTAAGCGGTTGCTCATATATTGCTTTTTTTTAACTTCCAAAATTCGTACGTACAAAGTCGCGGGTATAATCTAGTAAAATACACAAATTATGACAATGTTTTATCAATAATGTTGACAAGCATCATTTGACGAAACATTTTCCCGGGCGTCTTTAATTTCAATCAAATTCGCCAACATTTATATTTACGTCAAAATAAATTCCGTCGAAACACGATGTCAAATATCTTCATATTGAATGAACACTTTATCAATAAGCTCTTTATAATATTCTACGCAGTACATTCATTGTTTACTCTATTGAAATTGATATCTTAATAAACAATTATTACAATCAAATATATACAGTGACCTTTGACGACCTAAAATCGTCGGGGTGCGAGTAAAGGGATTGTTAGTAATGGGGATTAACAGTCCTATTGCTAGTAATATACCCTGTGAGAGAGATCTCCTCGTGGTCTCCCTTGGAAATCATCATGTTTAATTCTTTTAATACTCCTCTAGTCCTCCTAGACAAGGTACTAACAAATCTATCGACATCAGCTAATAAATTTTAATTTGATTACGAAAACAAAGTATTTTAAATGTGGACTGTTTCGAAAAATTTATAATTTCCTAGAAAATAAGGAAAATATATAAAAATAAAAAAGTAACGACTTACCAATCTAATTCTGATTCTTTATTACATCGCTGGAATCTAGATCCCTAAGCCTAAATCAAACGCTGGCTATTTAACTTACCACGATTATTGCCATCGGACATTTGTTTATTTATTTATTTAAACGTTAATGCACTGTAAAATTCTGTGTACATTAGGCGAAAATCTATTCTACCATACGCTATATTGTTGAAATATATATATTTTATTTACCTACTATCAATAAATTATAGATAAACTTGTAATTTACGAGAGTGATAAACTTTTAGTTTTTATACTACGACAGATTTGAAAAACCTATTCAGTCAGTACTTACATGAAAAAAAGAGGACAGCATAAGTTGACTTTTTATTCTGTTTCATGGAATAATGATTCTATCAATAGATTCGTTTGTATATTATCTAGGGCGGGGGGGGGGGGGGGGGGGGTCGTTTTCATTGTAATCAGTTTTGTTACTTTGACTTTACTTATATAATTAAAACGCTTTTATAATCCTCTTAATTTATTTATAATAAAATAAAAATTATTAAAAATAAATACAAATTGGTAATCTCCCGTTGTTGAAAGTCAATGAGTGGAAAATTTATTGATAGGCAATGTCACGAAAACAATTAAGAAAAATATAAATTCGACCTCTTCAACATATCAAATTATAGTCACTCTTCTAAAGATACATAACTTAAAATTTGTAATAATTATATATATATATATATATATATAACTTTAAATACGGCAGTGTAACGTATTTAACGAAGACATTTCATTGCATGTTTGCTAGTGCCTGACTTTTTCACCATAGAAAAATATAAACTCATCAACGAATTAATTCCTTTATGCCATCTATTTATTTCATTTTATTTAATATTTTTCATGTTAATATTTTCCTAGAATAAATAATATTGCTTTCTGTTACTGAAAAAAAGTACATCAATATTTTTTTATTAAAGACAAATCAAATTTTGATAATCAATTATGGAAATTCAATATTTGTACTTAAATCCTTTGATTGTGTCCCCATATTTACATAATAAAGAAATAACAAAATAAAAATTCGACCGACACCGGAGTAAACTGAATTATCAAATGAATTTAAAATTTGCAAAAATATCGCGTAACACGTACTCGTAATTTAGAAACTCAATAATAAATAATTAGTAGGGCATAGATGTCGTTGTGATCACAAATCGCAAATTTTATAACATATATATATATATATATATATATATATATATATATATATATATATATATATATATATATATATATATATATATATATATATATATATATAAAATTGGTTCTTATATTCTTTAGATCGGTCTGTCTTAAAAAGGTCAAAACATTCAATCTTCGATTGCACCGAAATGAAATCGAAAACTCTAGAAGGAAATTTTGAAATGTACTCACCAGCTATAGCTAATTGCATTATGAAGAAATTCATCCGACTTTTCCTCGCATTGGTACATATTAGTGCGGCGATGACTGAGGTGTTGAGTACTACGATGGCAACGAACAACACCCACATCACGGTGAATTGTATTGTCTGCAACAAATTACATTTATTACTATAATTTGTTTCAATAGAACTTAACAAATAGTACGAATTAATACGAGTAATCGATTAATTAATTTAACGTTTCGATTTGTTACTAGTTCTATTTAGATTGTATTTCTAATATGAATCTATTGATGAATGAATAAATCAGTATATTTTTGCATTATACAATATAGGATTCAAGCAAGACAATTAATAAATGTCGATAAATGATATAATTGTATAAGTACAGTCTTTCTTTTCATTAAGTTTCTTTTAAAATTAAAGTTTATTACAAAAATTTTAGATGTATTCAAGTGGGGCATGGCACCAAAAAGGTTGGGAAACACTGGTCTATACAGTATAGTTAACCATTTTACAAATTAAATCTACATCTTAATATACTACCAGAAAACATAAACTTTCTTTAAATGTATTAAATGTTTCGTTTGAAATAATTACTAAACCGATGTGGATTCGTCTAAATAGATTCTCGTAACCACAGTAATTTAAATTCTAATATAGAGTACCGTAAGATTTCATTTGGTATGTAAACATCACTCAGACTATTATGTAGACAGTATGTTTTCGCTATATATAACACTATTGTAATTATCAGATAAGAGGATTTATACCGTAACTAGTTTCTCCCCGTAACTTCGTCCGCGTAACTGGGTTATATTCGTTGACCGAGATAGAAAGTAGTCTATGTTATTTTGTAACACAATTACAGGTAACAAACAAACAATTTCAATTTCATATTTGTAATATTAATAAGAACGTAATAGGAAAGGGGGGAAAGGGATTGTTAGTAATGGAGTCAAATAGCTCCATTACTAGCCATATACCCTGTCAGGTCGACCTCGACGTGGTTCCACCTGGAAACCACCGTGGCTAATTCTAGTTGAATTGATCAGGGTGGGCTAACTGACCTGCTTTCGTCCTCATCAATCATCTATCACTGGTGCCTTGCCAGTGTATACCGATAGCGCAGATACCATTATCACTCATTAAAAAAAAAAGTTATATCTATAGTATAACTAACTTCTGTTTAAGGGGGTAAAAATTTAGAAATTAAATTATCTTATGGTTGAATTTTCAAAATTCTTTTCTTATTATTCACCTAACTTATTTATCTATCTACATATATAAAAAAATTCTAAATTGTAGGTATAACCATTTCGACTATACGTTGATAAATGGGTTACTCAGACAGTTAGTATCCTTTTTTTATATTAGATTATAAATAGTGAACAAATTAATAAAATAATAATGAACGACAAGCACTACAAGTTGGTTAAAAAATATTCCGCCATCTTGTGACTGCGGCCATTTTAAAATAATAACATATATTTTACGCTTACCTAATTTTCAAGATTTTTAATATAATACCCAATCCAATATTAACGGGATTGACAAAATATATACCATCTTGTGGCGTTAGCCATTTTGAAAATATTACAATATTGAATACTATTCGTATATTATTATGGCCAAAACTAAAAAAACTGTGTTCCACAAAAAAAAAACCGAACCTATAGAAGTCGGTGGTAAAACTAGTTATTTTAGTTTAAAAGCTATATTTGTGAAACGATTTTAATAAAATCGTCTATGGAACTAATCTGTAAGTATATCCTTTCAGATGAAAAAACGCTTTCTAAATCGGCTTATAACGGACAGAGTTATGACGTGACCAATTATAAAAAAATCAATTGAATTTAGAACCTCCATCTTTTTGCATAGCTGTGTTTCGGTTTGAAGGGTAGGATATGGCGTGAATTTACTGGCTACAGAGGAATAACACCTGAGTCCTCAGGAATGGCAATGCATGGGGGGTATCATGGGCGAAACAGTATACTCTGTTGTCCATTGTGTATGTCCATGGTACTGCTCATGTCTATAGGTGAGCTTGTTTGCCATTCTAAGTAGTATAAAAAAAAAAAGAAGTTATTTAAAAATGTATACAAAATTTTATAGATAATCAGTTAGAAACATTTGGTTTTAATACAGTACAGCTTGCAAGATTTGACGTCAACCAAAAGAACAAACATTACAAGTTTGATACAAAATAGCTGGAATTAAAAAAGGAATTTCTCGTAATTCCCACAAAAACGGAAGGAGACAAATTCCGCACAAGCAAAGCCGCGAAAATTAATAAGTGTAAATCTATCGTATTTTGCGTCAAACTGCACTAAAAGTTGTTAATGAATTTTTTAACATTGAAAGCTAAATTGAATGTTTGACTAGAACGAAACACGGCCACTATGTTTAATATTGATAACGTTATCGGAGACAGCCACTCTTGATAACATGTTCACCAAAATATCCATTACATGATTAAAACCTTTCAGCTTTTATTACTACTGTAATCCACATGAAATGTAGTGGGTGTGACAAGATTTACTTGCCTTCATGAGTTTTGCTTAGAACGTTTATTATTATATCAGCCGTGAATTGTCCATTGCTGAATATAGCCCCTCCCCCCCCCCCCCATAAGGCGGATTTTGCTAGTTGCTAATTGCCACAGTTGGCAGGCAGATTGCAACTGTACACATGCGTATGTAACCACATACACAGTTGCATAACTAATAATATATTTCGTAGATAAATATTTTTTTTAGATAAGTTACATTGAAAATATTTAAATTAAGAACGCAATCTGCGTTCTATATTTAAATATATGGACCCTTGTGACTCTGATACTAAGAGTTTTCTTAGGGATTACAGCTTCGTCAATGTTACAGCTGACCCGAGATTTGGCACTTTGTGCAAAAAAATAAGCATCCTATCTAGAGGATTAATACTAAGTACTTTTTACGCTTCCTCGATGTGCCGAGTTGGAAGATATATAGTTTATATTATGGAAATATTTTTTTTTTTAATATTAGCTTTTTACGTGTAAATTTTGTAAATATGAAAATTAACGAAATAGGTCATTTGTAAATAACGCATAAGGATAAAAACGTGGGTTAAACACTAGGTTTCAAGTTCCATCTTCAACAACACAATTGTGAAAACCGCATCTAATTTGGTGCAGTAGATTTTGCGTGATGCCGAAACAAACATATAGACAGACAATCAAAAAATAAAAATATTATTGTTTTGCCTTCAATTACTTTTGACTCCTATATCGTTTTTTCTTAAATATCTTTTGTGTAAATGCATTATCTTGTTATAATTTTATTATATATGTATGCACATAATACTACGTAAATAATGAGGTGGAAGGGATTGTTAGTAATGGAAAGCTTAGTCCCCATTACTATCAGTACACTCTATCAGGTCGACCTCCACGCGGCTTCCCCTGGAAACTATGGTGACTAATTTATCGTTGAATTCATCACGATGGGCTAACTGCAGGTCAGTCCTTTTATCCTCACCTGTCATCTCTTACTGGTGCCCCGCCAGCGTATACCGCTACCGCAGGCGGGGTTACCATTCCATTATCATTCATTAAAAAAAAAACCTAGATTTTACTTCAAAAGAAGCAGTTTTTTGTTCCATAAAGAACAGAACAAAAAATATCAATGAAATAGAGAACTTTTTGGAAGTTAATAATAACAGGTAAATTAGCATAGAAATAATAAGACCGGTTACTTATTATTATAATATTAACCTGACTTTGAAACTAATATCGTTACCTCGATATTCACTTGTCATTAATTATTACTCAGTACCTTGTCACAGTGACTTTAGTAACAATTAAGACCTCATTCGCCAGTTGTATTATTAAATTATTAATGTGACAAGGTAATTCGCATAAATACGTAATTATTATACGAGAGTTAGGTCGCACAATAATAAATAATACTATTATAATTGACTATATATAAAATAAGGTTTACTGAAAGAAATCCCTTTAAGGAATAAGTCCGGCTGTGTACATTTTAGTATAACCTAATATCTATATTAGAAGTAAATGCTCGAAAGTATGTAAATAAATTAATTATAGTAGATTTTTTTATTTTAATGAAAAGGTAACCCCGTCTAGGCTATTGGTATATGGTAGTGGATCAGTGAGGGAGGAAAGATGAGAATGAAAGAGGTCAGTTAACTAATTGTGACGAATTTAATTAAAAATTAATTTTCAAAGGGAACCGCGTGGAGGTCGACCTGATAGTGCACATTGCTATTATTTATGCAGTTAGAGCCCAATTACTAAAAATCCCCGATTTCATCCTCACATGTCATTCCTTATTGGTGCTCAGTCAGAGTAAACTCGGATCATAAGAATACAATATCCAGGTAGAAGCGACACTCCTGCAGATTCAAAAATAATAACTACGTTGGTGCGCTGATTATTCGCTTCTTTTTAAGAACTAGTCAATCAGGGCTTTCAATCAATGGACACTGTAGCGAGAGCCTACGTATCGCTCAGTCTCAAGTTTGTCGTAACATTATTTGTTAAATAAAAAAAAATAGTACCATTTCTGCATTCATAAAGTAAAAAAAAAAACGTGAGTATAACTTCTACCTACTCTTATTAATTCTTATGGTGGGGTTACATACATACATATATATCCGTCACGCCTGCCCCCATTAGGATAGGCAGAAACAATGGAACGTCAAATGCTCCGCTTCAAACAGACCTCTTTCGCTTCCTCCACATTCATCCTTCACGCTTGCCGTTTTCGGGTATTTTAAATTTGACTCTTTTTCAGCACGTCGCGTACTTGGTCGACATATGTCCATCTAGAGCGTCCCCTACCTACATCTTCATTCATTTGTGATAAATCTCTTTCGTAATTCTTTTTTATATCCATCCTCTCGAAATGACCAGTTTCCTACATTGTAATAAAAAAATTCGAAGGAATACAAATTTAGTATCTACCTATCTATATCGTCATAGTCGTAGAATACTGACGGATCTATATATGTAATCTTTGTCAGAACCGTCAGTATTCTACGACTATGACGATATGATACTTGTAACATCTGTGGAAATATTTTTTTCTTTAAAAAGGCTTTCATTAGTTAACGGAATAAGTTATTTGAATAACTGTTATTTAATAGCATTTTAAGGGGTTTACTCGCAATGTTATTCAATTTTAACTAGGTCCAGAAATTATGAAATATTTTTACTAAAAACTTCAGGGATATCAGTTTGAAAAGTTAGTAAGTTATTACTTAAGTATAAAAGGAAATATTTACAAAATTTTTACCTTTATTCTGTTAGTACGTTTATTGGTAAGGATTTCTATACCGAAACTAGTTGTAGCCTGCGACTTCGCTCGTAGTCGTATCGTGACATTGAATAGATTTCTTTTTCAAACAATGAACTATCAATTTCCAATTTTAATTGGTAGTTCAAGAGATTAGTGTGCTCAAACAAACAGACAAACTCTTCTATTATAATAAGTGTGGATATATTTAAGTAAACATACCTATTTCATTATTGTAATTAGACCTGACATAAAATATTACATAGATAATCCTAAGCTTAATGTCAATATATCATGCTAAGATTAAGTGAGGAAAATGTATTGCGAGGAAAAATCATACGGACATTTATTACATGTCCCAAACGTGATTAATATCTGTACGTATACTTAATACATAGGACTTATGCTTTGTAAATGTTTTACTTGGTCAATACATCTAAGTGAAAAACAAACATGGCCCTACACGAAGTTATTTTGTCTGATAGAATTACTAGAGGAAGACTTTGTATAAAAGTCGTTTGCTTGGGCATCTACGTCTCATTCGTGTTTCTACCGTGAAACAGTTGTGTTTGCATGGCTGTGTTTTATTTGAAGGGTGGGATATGGCAGTGAATTTACTGAGTACAGAGGAATAACACCTGAGTCCTCAAGAATGACAACGCATAGGGGGTATCATGGGCGAAGCAGTATACTCTGTTACGTCCATGGTACTGCTCATGTCTATAGGCGACGGTTACCACTTTCCATCAGGTGGGCCGTCAGCTTGTTTGCCATTCTAAGTTGCATAAAAAATACGAAATGAGGATATCCATAGAAGAACCAAAGTGACCAATATAACCCGAAAGATTAATGAGCTAAAGTAGCAATGAGCTAATCACATAGCTAAAAGAATTGACCCTACTAGATGTAGCAACGATCTCAAATACATTACACGGAATCAATGAACGCAGGTGACTTAAGAGCGTTCCTTCTGACAGTGTAAGGAGGAAGCCTATGACCAGCAGTGGACAATTAACGGCTAACACGAAGACGATGATGAAAACACAAAGAAAACAGAAACAGAAGCTTATACAAATACAATTAATCAATTTGAAAGATTTTATTATGACAGCACGATAATCTACGCCTTGGACTGTTTGACTGATTGATGACAAAAAAAAACTGAGGAGACAAAGCAAATATCAAGAGAAATCTTGCTTTTAGACGAAATACCTCTCATCTATGCAGGTCTGGTTCAAAACACATTTAAAAATAAGCTTCAGGTCCGTTTGAAAATACTTTTAAAAACACGCTTTTGTAATGTAATCCGCCATCTTGGCGGCCATATTGTATTGGCCATATTATCAGTGAGAGATGATAGGTGACGATGAAAAGGCAGGTCAGTTTGCCCATCGTGATGATTACACCTGGAATTCAGCACGATGGTTTCCAGGGGGGACCACGTGGAGGTCGACCTGACAAAGCATATTGCTAGCAATGTGACTGGTAGTCCGCATTACTAACAATCCCTTCCCCCTCAACACCTATATTAAAGGGGTGAACAAAAATACATAATCCACTTTGTAATGAATGAAATTTTTCTAAATTAGCTTACAAGATTTGATATAAACAAACTAATAAAAAACTTGCAAATTTTTTAATTAGTTTGTTTGTTATATAGATTACACAAGAATTTATTTACTCAAGATTACCTGAACTGCTTCCTAATAAAAACCATGCTACTAATTTGATATTTAATACATATGAAAATAAAGGCTTTATTCGTACGTAAAGTATTATTTAGTAAACATACTAGTACTTGATTCATTTAAGATTTCTAATTAAGAAGGTATATTTTTAGATTTATAGGATCTGAATATTTCATACGAATATTAAAAATTAATTTGAAATTTGATAACTGTGTCTCGCTGCTTGGTTATTATAGCTAAATAGAAAAATAAATTCCTTTACCTATTGAGATTTAGATCGTTTGAGGTTTCGATATGATATTTTGACGTTGAGAATGCAGTTAAAGTTGAATCGAATCGGCAAGAAACTCAGTTCTCGCTGTTTTATTATTTTATGAGAATAGAATCTACGAAAGAAAATAACATAAAATACTTATAGGTAAAGTATCAATATGCTGTATATTGTTTTCTCTGAACTATTACAGTAGAATACTGATAATGTGATAATAAAAACAATTTGTATAACATAGAATGGTAAAGAAGGTGACGGTCCCATCTGATCTCAAGTGTAAACCGTCGCCTATAGAAGTACTTGAATAGCACTAAATACGCTGTAGTGCCTGTGGTACTAAATATAATTAATACTAATTATTGTTAAGTAATTAATTTCAAATGATTACTCGTAATTAATTACCTTACCTTACCTTACTTATTTATTAGTATTAGCCATGTGGTCCCCGCATAGAATAGACTACCCCTTCCTTTCCTGTGGGTGTTGTAAGAGGCGACTAAAGAAACTTAATAGTGGAGGGATTGGTAGCAGCGTCTCTTTTAAAACATCTCTAAAAGCCTAACTGTGGTTGCCATCCCACCTGCCAAGTGTGGTAACTACTGGAAAAAGTCTACTTTGGAGAAGGTTTATGTTAAGCAGTGGACAGTTAACGGCTAAAATGATGATAATGATTTATTAATACTTACCAACTACCAGAGGGAGACTCTGTACAAATGTCGATTGCTTGGGTACCTCTGTCCCGTTCGTGTTTCAACCGTGAAGCAGTTGTGTTTGCATGGCTGTATTTCGGTTTGAAGGGTGGGATATGGCGTGAATTTACTGGGTACAGAGGAATAACACCTGAGTCCTCAGGAATGACAACGCATGGGGGGTATCATGGGCGAAACAGTATACTCTGTTATGTCCATGGTACTGCTCATGTCTATAGGCGACGGTTACCACTTTCCGTCAGGTGGACCGTCAGCTTGTTTGCCATTCTAAGTTGTATAAAAAAAAAAACTTACATCATAAAAGTAGTAGTAATTCAGGTCAACTTTCCCATTAGTGGCATTTGTATAGTTCCTCGAGAGGTTCTGACTAGTGTCGTCGGAAATAAATACTGTGGTGAAAGTTCGAGGAGTAGTCAGCTCCCCCATTTCTTCCACAAACTCCAAATCCATGGTTCTGCAAAGAAAAACAATTGAATCATTAATATTTAATGGAAAATTTTTTAAAGGATGCCTATTCGAGCAAATCTTAGATTTTATTACTAGATTTGATTGCATTAAAATTTAACATACACAAACACAATATTATTAAATATAAGTCTCCCCCTTTTGCCAGTAGTTGCCATGTTTGGCAGGCAGATTAGCAACCGCAGTTTGGCTTTGGAGATGTTATAAAATGTATGCTGCTGCCCATCCCTCGATCTCCCTTAGTTGCCTCTTACCACAGCCACGGGAAAGGAAGGGGTGGCCTATTCTATGCCAGGACCACGTGGATCTTTACGAAAAATAGGTGGCTATATTTAATCGACCTCAAAAAGAATAAGATTTTGTATTCCCCTTAATTCTTTTTCTTTTTGCATTTTTTTATGTTAACTTTCTCAGTGTTAATTGTAAACAGACGTGTACCGAGACTTACACAACTGTTATTTATGTATATGATAAGTATATCACAAATTTATCAAGATGAATGAAAAATTCTGTACCAAAGAAAATATATAATTAGATATTCGTTTCTATGACGTATCAATGATCAACAGGGTCAATTCGTAATAAATTATTTGACATTCCCTTTTATTATCCCTTACGCTTTGTCTACCTTTTAAAAGTAACACGATACCAACAGAGACAAATTCCTTATCGCATTCTTCGGTGCTATAATGCGGAAACATCGCCAATAGACATTCTAAGGAGACAACAAAGGAAAGAATTCGGCCTAAATCTCCACTGTGTCAATGTTTCCACTTGATCTCATCTGTAATAACCAGTCACGATTGCAGTAATTTAATCAACATTTGTGCGGTCCGTCATTTTTGCTGAATTACTCTTAATTAAATTTCTACTCTGTCCGACCACAATATTTGACAGTATTCGTATTTCGGTTGGTTTCTGGACTTATTTATGGAGACTACATTGTGATAACCACTAAAAATTTATGATAGTTCACCCTCATATTCTACAGCCTCAATGATGGCGTACAACGCGGTTTCAGAGATGTTTTCTCCCACCAACACTTAGGTTGTGGAATGAGCTTTCTACTGAGGTTTTTCCAAGAGTCTACAGCATGGGGTTCTTCAAAAGAGAGGTAAAGAGGTTTCTTCAGGGTCGGCAATGCGCGCATATACCCCTGGTATCGCAGACGTTCATAGGCTACGCTAACTGCTTACTGAAACCTCAGTGGTATAAAAAATATAGTCGTGAGAATCTCAGAATACATAATTATATTAGTTTTATTTTAAACTAGCTGTCTTCTACGGCTTCACTCGCAAGATACAGATACTTCAAAAAATAAAATATCAATTGCAATACTGACGTAAACAAATATTAGGTATTAGCTTTTACCCGCAAGTTCGTTCGCGGAAAGGAAATAAACAATAAGTAGCCTGTATCCTTTCCCATCCCGTATAGTACGTGTATACCAAATTTCATAACAAGTGGATCAACCATCAAAGTTCTCAGAGATATCGAACAAACTCGCTTTCGCATCTATAACATTGACAAGGACTACACAATCAAAAGACTCTTTCTAAAAATCCATCAAAATCGTACAAAGAAATTATATTACCACACTCTGATACAATTTCACATTGCTTTTTGCTGTTTTTAACTTCAGTTTTTATTAACGTAATGGAAATGTCTTTGCGATGTCTCTTTTAACATTCTCCGGCCCGTTACGGAACACTGTAAAGTCTTCATTGCGCTCTAAAAAGTTCTATAACAACAACAAAGTTTCCAACTGCGTATATAGATGAGAAATTTAACTCATAATGATTATTACCTACCATACTGACTTAGGTTGTAGTATCTGCTTCATTACGCAGTGACATTCTTGTTCTGTTCCCAAATATATCTATATAAATAAAAATCAAACGCATCACTTCAGAACGGCTGCACCTATATAACTTATCATTGCTGAGTTTGTAATTATCAGGACAAAAATTTTATGAGAGTTAAACTCTCAATATAAAAATTTTTGAAAAATCAAAAGCTTTAAGTTACTTGGCGAACTATAGAGAGGGTTATGCTCTGAGTTTCTTTGGGGGAAAATAAAAATATGCATTATACGTAGACATAGTATAAAATGCTCACTTTTATAGTATTTTGATCCTGGTTTTCGAATGATCTAAGTAGGACGCTGATTGACAAATGGAAAAAATAATATCATATTTTACTTGCCTTTACAATTTAAAATATACATTATACGTAGACATAGTATAAAGTGCTCACTTTTTATAGTTTTGATCCTTCGAGCCGGACGCTGATCGATAAAAAATAAACATAATTCTGTATCTTCATATCATGTTGCAAGGTAAGTAGAGATAACCGACTATCAAAAACCTCTACCCATACAAAATGTTTTTTAATACTACTGAGGTGGCAGAAAAGCATACGGCTAATGGTAAGTAGTTACCGTAGTCTCACACTGCATGAACGATTGCAATATTAGGGGCTTTACGCTGCATTGTTGACCCAAAAACCTTTTTAGCCCTTTTTTATCTCTTACTTCATCCAATTAAATAATTTATCTGATATATACATATATAAGCTAATTCCAAATACTATTTTCTCCTCTCTAATAATACACAGTCTATCTGATCGTGTTAGTTTAGGTCTCCTTTAATATCTTTATCCTTCTATTTTCGCATCATCATATTTTTTTTTATATCTCCAAATAACACGTAAACAGAGCCAATTAATCTAATCGACCATACCTACCCAATTACCTACCGCTGTTGGATTATATTCGCCACGCTAAATTCGAATTTGCTCGGTAGAATATGGATAAGTATGTATTAGGCTAACCACAGATTTCGTTCATTGTTAAAATCAAAGCAGGATTCTACTTTTCGATTTAGGTTCCTCACCTGAGTAAATTACTACACACTATTTCTTTTATTTATGAAAATAATGGAATAGTAACCCCTCGTGCGCTATTGGTTTACGCTACGGAATATTAGTGAGTGACGGTAGGTAAAAACGAAGTCATGTCAGAAATTAACCACGACGGTGTCCGAGTGGAGGTAGTACTGACAGAGTAAATTATTAACAATAAAGTTGTTAATCGCCATTACTAACAATAGTACCTACTTACTATTAGTAATTATTTATCCAAGTATCGAAGAAAGGGGGATGATTATGTCATGTAAATAAGACCTATGTATTTATGGCCAAATCTTCGACAGTACATGTAACTTAAATGATAGAATACGTATTATTTTTAAAACTATGTTTATTTTTAACGATACTCATATATATGTATAACAGAGTTGTGTGAACTTACTGTGTGTATTATTTTCAACAATTGTATCGACTACATCCAAAAGTGTTCATCCAAGACGCTGGATGAAGTCCCCCTGCTAAAGACATCTGGATGAAGTCGAAACAATTGTCGGAAACGACAAACGTAATAAGCTCAAAAATTCCCTTTACAAGTGTATACATATAGAAAATGTATTACTTCGTATTGCTAAATTTTAATGAGCAAGGTCATTTAATTCGTCTTAATTTTTGGAGCACTTTAAACTAAGACAGAACAGAATAAAAGTATTTCCTAAAATCTCTTCTCAGGTGTACATTACCCTCTGTTCTCGCCTCTGCACGTGCTCTGTGAAGCTGTAGGCCACCGCGGTCAACAACATTAGATTAGATTGAAGAAAAAACAAACACCCTCTGACATAATCAAGAAATTTCCGTCAAACCGTCATTAAAAAAAGGTTCATGCCCGCATTTTCACTTTAGCACACTGAGCAATGTATCTTATCTGTAATAACCTCGTGTATAATTGTACTGTATTATCATTTTTTATAACTTTAATATATAAATTTATGTAAATATGTGTTTTTTAATCAATTCTAATCGTTTAGACAAGGCAGTGGCAAAAGATCGAGTGATTAATAAAAAATAAAGTTCTTACTAATATTAAAAATCTAAAAAGTATGAGCTCAACCAACCACTTTTTTACACGCACTATATAGGATGGAAAAAGACAGCCTATTTTTTAATCTCACTTAGTGATCATATTTCGATCACACAGTCCTGTATAAGCTGGTATCTTCATATTTTTTTAACTTGTCACTTATTGAATCAGTAGCTAGGTAAATTATGTTTGCTTAGTTATCGTCGATATATATATTTTTAATGAAATTCTATAAATATTATGTCTGTAGTTAATCTCACTTCGCTTAAAGGAGGTTTTAATTTTATCAATTCTACTTTCCCTATGCCTACAAATAAATATACGACGTTCTCTATGGGGGGTTTGTATTTGACCGCTCTTACTGAGCGGATTTGAATGGGACTCGGCTGAGGCGAAGTAGCGTCCTTGATTAGGTGGATATTTATTAAAATAATAATTAATGTTACACAAGTTAAGAAGCTTATAAATAGCTTATTCAAACTCCTTGATTATAGAATCAAGTCTTAATCTATGGCTTAGTAAGATTAGTAAGTTCCCCTGTGTAGGTAGGTATTTTCTAAGAACGAGGGTATTTTTCATCTTAGATAAAAGAATAATGCCTATGTATTTTTAATCTACACTCTACTTAAATTGAGGTTTCAGTTTTATCCTTCAAATTACGTAGACGGGCAACTACACTTATATAATAATAAAGAAAAAACACTCGACCCTCATTCCATAAATAAAATGGTAGAGGTTTTCGGCGCTCACGGCTCCCAATTAATCTTAGCTAAGGGGCTTTGCTCGATAGACTGTTTGTTCTTTAGCTACCATCAAGCCTCCATATAAATTGACCTTAACACATTGAACGCCGTGTCGGACGTTGAAATTCTCCACGGGCCATATAAATATTCGAAGTATGTCCATAATTAACTTTATGTTCTTTCAGTACATATGAACCTCAGAAATATTGATAAAACAGTATAATTGTATGTTGTTGGATGAAGTCGTTGAAAAAGGCATCATTTTCTAAGAATTTTTAAATATCAAAATGATCATATTAT